TTTACAGCACCGCCGCGCGTCCTGGGCCGTAAAGCGCGAGAGGGGAAAACTCGGAAGGAAGGGAGGAAGGTCGCGGTGAGGAAGGCGGAGGAGCCTCGGTCGTCGTCTCTTTCTCCGGGAAGGAGAGAGGGAAAGAAGGAGGGAGGGAGGGGAGGGGCATGCAAATGAGCTGGCCTGGGGGGCGGGGTATGTAAATAGGGCAGCCTGGGCCTACCTGGCAGGGAGGTTGTGGAGACTCCCGGTGAGTTAGTGCAGGGAAAAAGCTGGGAAAGGAATGCTAGCATTGGGAGAGACCCTCCAAGGGCACCTAGCCCAACCCCATTCTTCCATTATGCAGGGAAAGCACACTCTAATCCCTCCCAACAGATGGCCATCCAGCCTCTGCTTAATAATAATAGTAATAATAGAATCCTAGGGTTGGGAGGGGTCCCAAAGGACATCTAGTCCAACCCCATTCTTCCATTATGCAAGGAAAGCACAATCTAAGCCTTTCCAACAGATGGCCATCCAACCTCTGCTTAATGATAATAATAACAACAATAGAATCCTAGAGGTAGAAGGGGTTCCAAAGTCTATCTAGTCCAACCCCATTCTTCCATTATGCAGGAAAAGCACCATCTAATCCCTCCCAACAGATGGCCATCTAGCCTCTGCTTAATAATAATAATAATAATAGTAATCGTAATCGTAATAATAATAGAATCCTAGAGTTGGGAAGGGTTCCAAAGGCCATCTAGGTCAATCCCATTTTTCCATTATGCAAGGAAAGCACCATCTAAGCCCTCCCAACAGATGGCCATCTAGCCTCTGCTTAATAATAATAATAATAATAATAATAGTAATCGTAATAATAATAGAATCCTAGAGTTGGGAAGGGTTCCAAAGGCCATCTAGGTCAATCCCATTTTTCCATTATGCAAGGAAAGCACCATCTAAGCCCTCCCAACAGATGGCCATTCAGCCTCAGCATAATAATCATAGTAATGGAGTCTGACATTGGAAGGAATTCCAAAGGCCAACAAGGCCAACCCCATTCTTCCATTATGCAGGGAAAGGACCATCTAATCCCACCCAACAGATTGTCATCCAACCTCTGCTTAATAATAATAGTAATAGGATCCTAGAGTTGGGAGGGATTCCAAAGGACATCTAGTCCAACCCCATTCTTCCATTTTGCAGGGAAAACACAGTCTAAGCCTTCCCAACAGATGATAATCCAGCCTCTGCTTAATAATAATAATAATAATAATAATAGAATCCTAGGGTTGGGAGGGGTCCCAAAGGACATCTAGTCCAGCCTCATTCTTCCATTATGCAGAGAAAGCACACTCTGAGCCTTCCCAACAGATGGCCATCCAACCTCTGGTTCATAATAATAGAATCCTAGAGTTGGGAAGGGTCCCAAAGGCCATCTAGACCAACCCCATTCTTCCATTATGCAAGGAAAGCACAATCTAATCCCTCCCAACAGATGGTCATTCTGTCTCAGCTTAATAATAATAATAATAATAATAATAATAATAGTAATAATAGAATCCTAGGGTTAGGAGGGGTCCCAAAGGACATCTAGTCCAACCTCATTCTTCCATTATGCAGGGAAAGCACACTCTAATCCCTCCCAACAGATGGCCATCCAGCCTCTTTAATAATAATAGTAATAATAGAATCCTAGAGTTGGGAGGGTCCCAAGGGACATCTAGTCCAACCCCATTCTTCCATTATGCAAGGAAAGCACAATCTAAGCCTTCCCAATAGATGGCCATCCAATCTCTGCATAATAATAATAATAATATAATAGAATCCTAGAGTTGGGAGGGTCCCAAGGGACATCTAGTCCAACCCCATTCTTCCATTATGCAAGGAAAGCACAATCTAAGCCTTCCCAATAGATGGCCATCCAATCTCTGCATAATAATAATAATAATAATAGAATCCTAGAGTTGGGAAGGGTCCCAAAGGCCATCTAGGTCAATCCCATTCTTCCATTATGACGGGGAAGCACAATCTAAGCCCTCCCAACAGATGGCCATCCAGCCTCTGTAATAATAATAATAATAATAATAATAATAGAATCCTAGGGTTGGGAGGGGTCCCAAAGGACATCTAGTCCAACCTCATTCTTCCATTATGCAGGGAAAGCACACTCTAATCCCTCCCAACAGATGGCCATCCAGCCTCTTCTTAATAATAATAATAATAATAATAATAGAATCCTAGACTTGGGAGGAGTTCCAAAGGACATCTAGTCCAACCCCATTCTTCCATTATGCAGGGAAAGCACCATCTAATCCCTCCCAACAGATGGTCATCCAGCATCCACGTTTATTTATTTATTGTGTCATCAGCAACCATTGTATTACAATTCTAACAGAGCAAAACAAACACACAGATTAAAAAGAAAAAGGAAAAAAAAACACAGAGATTTTGCAAATTTGGTATTTGGTTAAATGTCCTTTGACCAGTATCTGGCCACTTGGAGCAACCAGAGACAACCAGAGCATCCACATAATAATACACAATAATAATAGATTCATAGATTTGGAAGGGGTCCCAAAGGCCATCAAGTCCAACCCCGTTCTTCCATTATGCAGGGAAAGCACAATCCAAGCCACCCCAACAGATGGCCACCCAACTTTTGCAATAATAGTGATTATATTAACAATAATAATAATGCTCTGGTCCTTCCTGGAGTGCCATACCTGGAAGGAGTTTCTGGGGGACTTCTGCTGACCTGTGGGGTTCCTCGGGGTTCTCTTTTGTCCCCCATGCTGTTTAACATAGACATGAAATGTGTATTTTATTTAAGCATTGCATACATTAGTATTTAAAAATCTAGTAAAAATAGAAGGATCATAAGCAGCTAAATGTCTTTTGATCAGAAATGGGCAACAGCAACCGCATTGTCTATAGCCCCCAACAATTCCTCTTCCAGGGAGCAGGGTGAGCTCCCACTGTTAGGCCCAGCTTCCAACCTAGTAATTCAAAAACATGCAAATGTGAGTAGATCAATAGGTACCACAGAGTTTACGATCATCTGGGAAGGCACTGCTCTCGGTCCCACGATTTCCGCAGACGAGAGACGGGGCTGTCTCAGACTTAATGTCAAGGGGAAACCTTTACTATCGTTATTATTGCTTTGTCTCGTTGCCAGTTCCGATGAAGAGTTCTGGAGAATTGGAAAGTGTGAATGCTACTCTTGGACTTCTTGGCTGCCCTTGAGAAAGGTACTGCTCACAGATGGAATTTCTTATATAATATGGGCATTTCTGCCTTATTTATTTATTGTGTCATCAGCAACCGTACCATTGTATTACAGTTCTAACAGAGCAAAACAAACACACAGATTAAAAAGAAAACGGGGAAAAAAACACACAGATTTTGCAAATTTGGTAGTTGGTTAAATGTCCTTTGACCAGTATCTGGCCCCTTGGAGTGCCTCTGGGGTTGCCGCAAGAAGGTCCTCCATTGTGCATGTGGCAGGGCTCAGGTTGCATTGCAGCAGGTGGTCAGTGGTTTGCTCTTCTCTGCACTCGCATGCCGAGGATTCCACTTTGTGGCCCCATTTCTTAAGACTGGCTCTGCATCTCGTGGTGCCAGAGCGCAGTCTGTTCAGCGCCTTCTGAGTCGCCCGGTCTTCTGTGTGCCCAGGGGGGAGTCTCTCATTTGGTATCACCCATGGATTGAGGTGCTGGGTTTGGGCCTGCCACTTTTGGACTCTCGCTTGCTGGGATGTTCCAGCGAGTGTCTCTATAGATCTAAGAAACTATGTCTTGATTTAAGTCGTTGACATGCCGGCTGATACCCAAACAGCGGATGAGCTGGAGATGTCTCTGCCTTGGTCCTTTCACTATTGGCTGCTACTTCCCGGTGGATTTCAGGTGGTGCAATACCGGATAAACAGTGTAATTCCTCCAGTGGTGTAGGGCGCAGACACCCCGTGATAATGCGGCATGTCTCATTAAGAGCCACATCCACTGTTTTAGTGTGGTGAGATGTGTTCCACACTGGGCATGCATACTCAGCAGTAGAGTAGCATAGCGCAAGGGCAGATGTCTTCACTGTGTCTGGTTGTGATCCCCAGGTTGTGCCAGTCAGCTTTCGTATGATATTGTTTCCAGCACCCACTTTTTGCTTGATGTTCAGGCAGTGCTTCTTGTAGGTCAGAGCACGGTCCAGAGTGACTCCCAGGTATTTGGGTGTGTTGCAATGCTCCCGTGGGATTCCTTCCCAGGTAATCCTCAGAGCTCGGGATGCTTGTCTGTTCTGCCTTGATATTCTGGGATATAGGGCTGCGTGGACAGGTCGCCGTTGTACCGTATATACTTGAGTATAAGCCGACCCGAATATAAGCCAAGGCACCTAATTTTATCACAAATAACTGAGAAAACAGATTGGCTCCAGTATATGCCAAGGGTGGGAAATGCAGCCGCTACGGGTCAATTCCAAAATAAAAAGAGATACCAATAAAATGACATTAATTGAGGCCTATTTATAAATCTATATAAATAAAAATGTAATGTTCGTTTGTGGGATTAACATAGCTCAAAAACCACTGGACGAACTGACCCCAAATTTGGACACAAGACACTTAACAACCC